TGCACTACAACTCACCTTTCCCCGTCACCTCCTGACACTCATCAAATTCTGTCCTACCTGCCCCAGCCCTTTCATCGTAGTAACCAAGCCTTGCCTTGCTTTGTTAAGACCCACCCCTGAGGACTTATGTTTCTTAAGGACTATTACTGCCTATTGTAAAATCCGTCAGATGTCACACTCCAACTCCAGGTATCATAGCCCTACTCCCTTTTCCTACGCAACACACTAGATGCTCTCTCCCCGGGATCAACTGGCAACTTGATTTTACCTACATGCCCGAAATCAAATGTGTCTGGTACCTCCTGGTCTTGGTGGACACATTCTTGGGATGGGTGGAAGCATTCCCTACCATCAACAAAAGGGCTCAGACAGTCTCTGATCACCTCTTCTGTGAGATCATCCTTCCATTTGAAATCTCTACCTCCCTCCAGTCAGACGATAGTCCTGAATTTACTTCCCAGGTTTCTCAGACCCTCTCAAAAGCGCTCAACATTCTTTGGTATTTTCATATCCCACACCACCCCCAGTCCCCAGGAAAGACAGAACAAACGAGCTGATCCTTACAAAACATTCTTGTTAAGCTGTCACAGGAGCTTCACCTTGATTGGGTAAAACTCCTGCAGCTGGCCCTTTTCAGGCTACCGGCTCTCCCTAAGTGACCTCTTTCCATCGTACCCTTTGAGCTCATGTATGAACGACTGGTTCTGACTCCCTTTCACCCAAACCTTTGCCTCTCCCTGATCCTCTACTCACTCCCCTACTCTTGTCATCCCTTCTCCCTACTATGGAACAGTATTGACCACTGTCTACCATGCCACACACTAACTGCTATCCATCTCTTCATCAGGTCATCTTCTCCCCTCTGGACCAATGTCCCTCACCCCTTTCCCCTAAATGGCAGAGCCCTTTCAAAGTAATTCTTGTGCCCCACAGCTGCTAAGCTTGAGGGCCTCTTTCACTGGATTCACCTATCTTTCACCTCAAGCCCTTTATTCCCCATCTCAAGATAATCTATCTCCCTTCCTGCTTATCAACTCCAATGGGACCCAGCTCTTTTAAGTTTCAGAGGATGCCGAGACCAACCATCCTGGCCTGAGTTCCAGAAGAATGAGGCTTAACTCCAGCAGATGTAGTAGACCCTACTGGATCGATATGGATTTTTTCTCCTCCCCCTCTTGTTTGTTTCTATCCAAAGTAACTCTTACATATGGAGATTTGAGGTTCATGAAACCTTCATTCACAACAGTTTCTCCGAATAGGGCTAGAAAATTGCTCTATAGCAGGTTGTCAGAAGCTGATTAGAGTAAGCATCACTCCCATATCTACCCCTCTTTCCTCATTTTGCAACCTTTTTGTTCAATTCCCTCTTTGACCAGATAGAAAGCTATTGTAAAGAGTGGCCAGAAAAATATGGAGGCTGCCCACACTGGTATTGCCAGTACTACTTGTTGATAGTTTTTTTTTTTTAATATCTCCATTATCTATATGCAAAGACCCTCTACTTTTATATCTGGACCCATGGGATCCCATGTGGAAAAATGGGTGTTGTTGGCAAACTACTGCCACTTCAAAACTGGACTATTGATAAGTACGATTAACATCCAGAGAAAATATGACCCAAGTACCCAACCCAAGGAGACAGAAGAAATATAAAAGGTAATTAAACACTCCTCCAAGGCCATTGCCTCTTTAGCATCCCCTCTTTTAAATAATACAAACCTGCCATATTGTCTCAGGCTTCAAAGACATTGGCCTACAGGTTCCTTAATGTCACCCAACCTGGCCGATTTAGAGATTGCTGGCTGTGTGTCCCTCCTGGGACTAGCTCACAGTTGCTGCTTGAGCGACCCTGTCAGATAACCTTACCTCACCATTCACCAGCTACCCCAACTCTGGTGATGTCATGACTCCCTACTTTTTTATACTACCCTCTTTGGCATGGCAAACTGTTTTAAGGCATCTAGGACACATTCTGCAGGGGCGTAAAGTTCCTAGACTGCAACAGAAACACAACTTTCAATACCTCATCTCAGCCCCAGTGCCCTACTGTCCACAACACCTAGATTCTTTGTGCTACTCAGATCTACCATAATCTACCTGCAGGCTGGTCAGGCGTTTGCACTCTGGTGTTTCACTTCCCCAGGCTGGGGGTGATACATGACAAAGAGTGTCTGCTGGTTCTGGTTGTAAACTCAATAGCTACCTGGCATAGGAAAAGGGAAGTTCAAAGCTTGCGCCCCTTGGCTTTTCCAGGTGTTGGCACTGGGACAGCAGGACTGACCACTTCCTTAAATTTTTTTCATTAGTTTCCTTCCCAATGAGTATGGACCCCAAACCATACTCATTCTTCAAGAAGAAACTGACTCCCTGGTACTTCAAAACAAATGAGGATTAGATCTCCTTACAGTTGAAAAAGGTAGCTTTTGCCTCTTTTTTTAAGAGGAATGCTGTTTCTATGTCAAACAGTTGGGTGCAGTAATAAAAATAAATGAATAAATAAATAGATAGATAGATAGATAGATGAATGACTAAATAAATAAATAAATAAATAAATAAATAAATAAATAAATAAGTGGAAATGAAATCCAACAACTCCAGACAGACTATCAAAAGTGAAAGAAACAACTTGATGCTTCCAACCTCTGGACCTTTGAAAACCCCATATGGAAGTGTCCTTCCTGATCCTTCTTCTCATTTTTCTGCTTTTACTATTTACACCCTGCTTTATTAATTTCTTCTCTACATTCCTCCAACAACAAATTCAAAAAAATTCTAACCAAACAATTAACAGTTACTTTTACAGGATTACCAACCACTGGCCACAGAGCCTGATACTAATGAGTATTCAGTGTGCCCTGATGGTGAGGATCAATTGTATCCAAGAATGACACCCTTAAGACAGCAAGAAGCAGCCTGAGAGCACAAACTACATCCCTTTTACTGCCTTAACACCACCCCCTTCCAGTTCCTCCTCTTTTATAATAATCAAAAGGGAGGAATGTTAGCAATAAGGTACCTCCACTGCCAGCAACAGCAAGACATGTCATCACCAGTGACTGAGAAGTGACATATTCTCACTGTCACCAAGAACCACATGTCCTCCCCCTGCTCATAAAAGGACCTGTTCTCTTCCCTCTTTCCCTTTTCTCTTCACCTTCACCCAGAGGCAGCTTCTGTGCCCCCTCCCTTAATAAACCTCCCTTGTCATATCTGTCGCATGGTGTGACTTTATGAATTTCATTAAATCCCAACATCTATAATTCTAATGATGGCAGTACTAGGGGCAGAATTTGGAAGGTTACTGGTCAGCCAACACAGCTGATGCAATGGGTTTAGTGAGAGATCCTGCATAAAAAAAATGGAGTGGAGGATAACTAAACAACATACCTGGCACATTACTCCACATTACTCCACACACAGCACTCTACACACGTGGACTCAAAGAAAAGAGGTTTTGATCTATCCTTGTTATAAAACACCTACCTCAGTAGCCTATAGTATTGAACAGTTCATTAGGGAAAGTAACAAGGTTTTACAATTCCATGAACACCATAATGGAATATTTACAGAAATGCCATATGTTTTCTTTCATGCCTTTAAAAATGCTATGCACTCTTTGTTAAACATGTGTGACACATCTTCATGAGGTCTGGGGTTCTCTCATTTAGACCCATCCATGTACTTATTGTAGTGATTATGTAATTTGTGTTTTTGGTCTCAGTGTAAAATCCCACTGGGCTTGTGAATGAGGGAATGTTTGTCTATTCACTTTAATACATAGATTATAACCTACTTAATACAACTTAAGTCATTATTATTTGCCATCAGACACTTCTCAGGGGCATCATGAAGCATTTTCTACAAGTTGAAATCCTAGCATGAAAAAAATTGTTAAACAACTATTAAAATTAGTATTTGTGTAAAAATACCACAATTTCTGTATCCATTCTTCTGTTGATGGACATCTGGGTTGTTTCCAAGTTCTGGCTATTACAAATAAAGCTGCTACAAACATGGTTGAACAAATGTCCTTGTTGTGTACTTGAGCAAATTTTGGGTACATACCTAAGAGTGGTATAGCTGGGTCTTGAGGTAGCACTACTCCTAATTGTCTGAGAAAGCGCCAGATTGACTTCCAAAGTGGTTGTACCAGTTTACCCAGCAGTGTTTCAAAGCAGACACTAAGACTCATAACCAAACCATGGCAGAGTGCAGGGAATCATATGAAAGAAGGGGAGTTAGTATGAAATGGAAAGGATAGGAGCTCTACAAGTACCGAATATATCCGGGCACAGGGCCTTTTCTGAGACTGACACTCAACCAAGGACCATCTATGGATATAACATAGAACTTCTGCTGGGATGTGGCCCGTGGTAGCTCAGTAACCAAGTAGTTTTCCAAAGCAAGGGGAACAAGGACTATTTCTAACAGGATCTCAAGGGCAGGCTCTTTGTCCTCCCCCACCCCCCCCCAGGGGAGGAGCAGTCCTGTTAGGCCACAGAGGAGGACTTTGCAGCCAGCCTTGAAGATACCTGATAAAACAGGGACAAATGAAAGGGGAGGAGGTCCTCCCCTATCAGTGGACTTGGGAAGGGGCAGGGAGGAGACCAGGGAGGGAGTTGGGGAGGGGGAGGGAATGAGGGAGCGGGATACAGCTGGGACACAGAGTTAACAAATTGTAACTAAAAATAAAAATAAAATAAAAAAAAGTGAAAAAAAAGAAAAAAAAAGAAGATAAAGTTCAGCTAAAGAGACCATAAAAAAAAAATTAGTATTTGAAAGACTGAAGAGCTTGCCTTTCTCAATAGTTTTTCAGCTGTCTATTTGTATCAGCAGGCAAGTAAAGAGTGTAAACTTTATTACAGTCTGCTTAACAATTATTCCATTAAGGTGGGTTAGACAAGAGGAAATGTCACTTCACCGTGGAAACGGCAAATAAGAAGTAGCCACCTTTTGAAAATGTAAATCCTTACCTTTAAGTGTCCCCTTCCCCCACCACA